GTAAAATTTCAAGGGCATCTTTCCATCATCCCAAATAAAACTGCAGCTCTCTCTGAATAAAGATTTGCTCTGTTTCAGCTGTAACTTACGGCATGATACTGACCAGACCCATCACATGTTTTGCTGTAGGTGAAGTATCATTGCTGCTGATACCACCTCAGTTTTGACGAACAGGAGCTTTACTAAAAATTGCTATTAAATTCTGTATAGAGACAGATTGACTATCAAGCAATATAAAAAAAAATCCCTTTGCTAACAGTGTAATTCTGCTTAGTTGATTGTTGCTGCGGCATTAACTGCCTTCAGTCTGATTCATTCTGGATTTGTGTTAGGCAGCACTGATTCTGTTGATAAGTGTTTTTTCCTCAATATGTGATGAAACTTCATCAGATAGCATTGAGAAGAATTGAGAGGTATGAAAGCAGTCCCAGTAATACGGAAAACACACATTAAAAAAAAAAAAAAAAAAAGACATTAACAAACTGCTACAGAAATTCACAGCCAAGTTCCCCAAATGCATTTCAGGAAAACTTGTTATGGCTGCTCTGACTGCCACTGCCAAATCACTCAGCAATCTCAAAAAGGAAGGAAAAAGAGACAAGAGATTGGAAGGAAAAGAAAAGCTGTGCCTAATAACAACATTGAAAGACATCTCCACTTTTTTCCTTTTTTAAACAGAGTGTGTATATAGGCATTCCAATGCCATATTTACATGATGACAGACTACTGCTCCCACGCACTCCATTTAGGTTATACTTAACACGAATTAATACCCAACCCACTGTAGCCCCTATCACCATGCTCTTCCTATAACCAAAGAACCTTCAGGAGGGGTACAGTGCTAAATAAAAGCAAGCCCGTAAATATATCCTGCACCTTTGGTGTCTCTGCTCCTCCCATCTTAACCCAGTGTCTATTATTTTCACTTGTACATCATGTCTAAATTTAGGGCTGACAGAGCTCTAGTCACTGACACCAGCTGATCTAAGATCTAGGCCTTTAAGTTTTATGGGATGTTTGTACCAGGCCTACATACACAGGGGGTCTGTGCAGCCCTGAGTCCATTTGGATCAGCCAACAGATACAACAGTCCCCAGGCTTATTTCCAGCTTTAACAAAAATTGCTTCTCTCATGCTGTGTCAGCTAGGAGAGAATCTCTGCTACTTCCTCACTAGGGAAAACCATCAAGTACCACCTTCTACTTGAGAGCAGCACTGTGTTTCCCAGGGACTTACTTGCTACAGCAGTAGGTGACAAGTACGTGTGCCTTCTGGTACAGCTGCTGTGCAACCCCTGCCCAGCCTAGGAAAGCAATTATTCCATTTTGAAAATTAACACGAGCTCAGGATATCACTAAGTAGGAGAAAATGTCTTCTTCAAACAATAAACACATGAACAGTACTTTCCCTCGTCAAGCATCGCAAAACCTTTCTTACTGTTTACTATGATGGCACAGGGGGAGAAGAGGGTAAGGAGTTGAGCATGACCCAGTAGAATTACTGCAAAAATCTGTATTTCAAACTCCAAATCTGCTGACAGAGAAAAATCACTGAACTGACAGTCACTGGGGAAGAATAATGTATAAAATGAGAAGCTGTCGTTTTGATTTTGATCCGGACAAAGATAAAAAAAAACCTGCATCTGCCTCTCGAATGACACAGAACAGATTTTTCCTGTTGGCATTCTATTTTACATATATTCTCAAAAATGTATTTTTCAGATACCAAGCACGGTCATCAATCTACTCTATGCAATAAAAGCCACTGCTGGAGACAGATGAAATGACAGATGAAATGACAGAACATATCTGAGGATACAGCAAGTTCAGCCAATAGATAGAACAACGCTGGCATCTAAGGAGTTCAAGGTTAATTCCCTTTCTGGAATTAAAACAGCAAATGGTACCAGAGTCCAAGCAGGAACTGGGAACAGTGCCATGGCCGATGCTCTGTTTTTCCTCTATAGTGATCTAAAAATAACTTTTTTGGATGTCTGATGAGAAAAACACCAGCCTGTAAAGCCACGGATACATATTTCCTCACTTCTTTAGCCAAAAACAAGGAAACTGCAATTGAACAGAGGATCTGAAACAAATCAATGCAAACATTCACTGTAGTTTTCTTTTTTCCACAGGTCTGGTCCTGAAGGAGGAGAAAAACATCAGAAAGGAGCTCAGCCTTAAGTTACATCAACAGATTATACGTTGTGAATTTCAGCACTTTCACGTACACCACAGCACTTTCCTTAAACAGCACATACAAAGAAGAAGGACACCTTCACGTCAGCTTCATAAGCTGAAAGAATGAGGACTAAAAGCCTTCCTTTTCTAAGTCCTTTGTTCAAATCCAATACAGTTCACTCCTGAATGATGTTTAAGAGCTGTGTTCCCTTCCTGTTCTGCTGAAACACTCAAGGATTCTTGGTTTGGGGCAGACTACCAAAATCAATGACAATTACACCTGAGATATGTTTGAAAAGAACTTCTCTCCAGTGCTCTGACAGGTTACGCTCGCTCTTCTTAGAGTGTATGATGATACAGAGAGGAAAAAAACCCACCAAAACATACCTTTCTACTCTGAACTCTTCCTAAAAGAGAACTCCTCTGGCAAACAAAGGAAGTTATGCCATGAAGAGATTTCAAAGTAACAAAACAATTCTCAGTCTATTTATTTATGCTTAGGAGTGTACTCCAAGAGGGTCCAACCCAAATAATGGAGCCTTTAATACAACAGCCCACACACACACATAACACCCCCCCAAAAAAAAATCTAACATTTTACTATTCCACCTGTGGACAGCACTGTCTGTTCTTAAATACAGCTCAAACACAAGTCATTCTAAAGAATGAATTTCATCCTAGGGAGATGACTGAAGGATTTATGAACGTGGCCAAATGGCGGAATGAAAACACAAATCTGATCATTCCACCGATTTCAATTCCACGCTGAACTTCACTTTGTAGTTTATATTAAAACCAAAACTGATAAAACATTCATAAAAGATCAGAGTTGTCATCAAACCCAGAGATGATGAAGACAAGAACAGAACGGTACGATAATCAAAGCAGCAAGGACATTTTGTGCCTCTGGAATCACAGTATCAGGTTACTTTGAATAAAGGCAGTAAGATGCAGTGCTTGCCCTTATTTCTACCTGCAGAACACTAACATTTACATTTCAAAACCAAAATGTGGAGCCACGATCATTTTTCAGAGAATGTAACCTCAGTAAACACTTTCTACAGAGAAAAATTAGAGGAAGATGACTGAGATTAAATCGAATCAGTACATAGGTGCAGGTGATAAATGATTCAACTGCTTCCTGGAAAATCATTTTCAGCTATAACATTTCCAAGTCAGCTCAGGATTTTCAGCTCAGTGTAACACTAATATGCATTTTTAAGGATAAAAATAAATGCAATACCCTGACAACTTCAAGGGAGACAATTCCAGCAAGCCCTGCATAACTCTGGGGAATTCTTAGGGTACCATTCCATGCAACACCTAACCAAATGCTCAGCTCAATGTTGCTGAAAGAGAACATCTCCCTCGTGTGCTTCTGCCACGTTCTGTTACCAGCATGCACTCAGCTCCTTTGTGCACTGATGCATCTTTCAACAGCAGTAGAAAAAAAAAGGCCAAAACCCAAAGAAAAAAATTGGATAAGGATGGTTCTCTGTTGCACTAGTTAATCAAGCACCTTCTGGAAGGATCTGACAACCAACGTGTGCAGACAAGGTCAAGGACTGCTAAGTATCATAGGCAGTAGCAAAATCAACATTCTCTCCTTCAGGTGGCAAGGAACCAAAGCCAGACTGAAATCAGCTTTGCCACTAACTTACAACATGACCCCTAACTACTACTTACTATCCACCTGATAGTGAGCACAGTTGTCATTTTCCTCACATGGCTGCAGCAAGAGCTGGAGTTTGGAACTGCCACCAGGTATGAAAAAGATGCATTATCACCACTGTACTTTTATGTGCATAACATACGACTGCTTGGGAAAGAAACAAGCAAGCCAGCCAGCCAAAAAATAAATAAATAGACAACCACTGCAACAAAACAAAAACCAAAGTTGTGATTTCATCACAGTCAAGGTTATAGACGTGTGGGTGATATATGGGATAGATTAAATTAAAAAAAAAAAAAAAAAAGAAAAACATAAAAATGAGCATTAAAAATTAGATTCTTGCCCAACTGTGTTCCAAGCTCAGTCAAACAGAAATCAGCTGTACACTTATACTGGAGAAACAATGCCTAAATCTTAGAGCTTAACAAGCCACTATTAAAATATCAACATCTCTCCCTTTTGCAACTCTCACTTGCCTTTGAAACAGGGTTGTTATTTTTTGCTTTTTTTGTTTTTTGTTATAGAAGCAAGCTACTCCTTAGGGAATGGGCTGGACAGATGTATCACTTGCAAGCTGAAGCTGAGGTTAATCTGAATACTTATTTTCAAGGCAAAGTGTTTCTTCAAGAGGTGCAAAATACTGTATTTATTATTTGCATTATGCTAGCTAGCATCTAACAACTGAAAACAACAATATGTCATTACATAGGGGCAGAAGAGTGTAGTAAGGTCCTTTTAAAACCTTACTATGCTCAGATCCCTCAGATGTGTGAACACATGCTTATAAGGATTAAATCAAGACAAGTAACAATAAATTCACCTCTCAACATGATAGCTTCTCCTATTTGTCTGTCAGCGATGGTTTCTAGAGTCTGTGCATGATGAAATGCAGATCTTCAGAGTATTCAAAGCAAGTAATAAAAATGGGAAGGTACTAATATTCAGGATCAGCAGTTACACCGTATTCACCTAATGCCTCCCAAATGAATGAGGTCTTGTAATTGATGCTGATATTCCTAGATGGGTCTTTGCAGCTGAGATTTAAAGTGATGCATATGGGGTATCAGCAAGCAGCTGTTTCTGAAACTGTTTTTTGTGGGTCACATGTGTTTTGTAATCACTGTCAACCCAGCAGCATATGTACCTACCTGGTATGTAACACGCTTCTTCCCATCGTCATTAGTTTGAGGCAAGGTCAGAGGTCCAGAAACCACCCAAACATCCTCAAATCTTTCCGTCAATTCCCGACAATACATTTCCATTCTGAAACACATTTGTTAAATCGTGAGATTCTTAGTTCAAATGGTTCTACCACATTACTGGATTGGTGCGATCCCCTTAAGGAATCAATGCCCTGCCACAGACAGTTCTTTCTGTAGACTCATAGAATGGCCTGGGTTGAAAAGGACCACGATGCTCATCCAACCCCCTGCTGTGTGCAGGGTCACCAACCAGCAGACCAGGCTGCCCAGAGCCACATCCAGCCTGGCCTTCAATGCCTGCAGGGACGGGGCATCCACAGCCTCCTTGGGCAACCTGTGCCAGTGCCTCACCACCCTCTGTGTGAAAAACTTCCTCCTAATATCTAACTTAAACCTCCCCTGTCTCAGTTTAAAACCATTCCCCCTTGTCCTATCACCATCTACCCTTGTGAACAGCTGTTCCTCCTCCTATTTATACTCTCCCTTCAAGTACTGAACAGCCACAATGAGGTCTCCCTGGAGCCTTCTCTTCTCCAAGCTAAACAAGCTCAGTTCAACCTTTCATCATAGGAGAGATGCCCCAGCCCTCTGATCATCTTAGAGGCCCTCCTCTGGACCCACTCCAAAGCACTTATGAAAATTCCCACCTGATATTTTTTGCTAAGTCTACTTAATGCTTTTTGCATAAAACTGATTAAAAATTAGTTTTTCCTGAAACAGTAACATCGTTATTGTTTTCTAAACTAGCTAATTTGTATTATAATTTATCCTCCAAATAAAAAGGTGCTTCTAGATCCCACTGTATTTTATAAAATGGGAGATTATAGCCTCACTTTGATCTAACATCCTAAACACCACAGAAGTCACGTTAAGAGAGTTTCATCTCCTTCTCCCTCCTGTTCTTCATACCTATCACTTGGGCCACCTTCAGCACTCCTCATCTCTTCATAACTCTGAGTAAAACCAGATAGTGAGTTAACTGAATTCACACAAAGCAGAATGAGCAGGAATGACACCCTCCTTCCTCGGTGATAGGGAACTGCCATATGATGAGCCAAAGCACTGACCACAAGCTACATCTTTCTGCTGTTATCAGCTTTGCTTCCAAGCACCCAGCTCTCCTGGCTGCCTGACCACGTGGCAATACAAACACCACCTGGCACAAGGGAAGAAGGAATAAATGCAACAAGGGAACAGACTGTGTTAGCAGCAGCAGGGACAGAGATCAGACAACAGTGATCACGAAAATGCACTCAAGACAGGAAATGACATTGAAACACTACAATAGAAAGAAATCTGCTACTGGTAAGAAAAGAATGAGGAGTAAATACTAAGGTGCAGTTAGACCACATCATCAAACAGCTCACTTATCTGATAGCTTCCTCAAAGTCCTGCTCTCTCTCTTTCTTACTGCTTCCCTTGCATGCCCCACCTAAACAGTCCTAACACATCTTCCGTATTTGCTGTGGCATTCATCACACCAGTTGATCCAATCTTCTAAGCTTGTAGAAAGGTAACCAACCAAAAGTGATTCAGCTTAACTGGGTTAGTAAATAGAGTCAACTCACCGTAGACTCAGAGAAGAATCACAGCTGGAATGGGGAAAAGCAGCAAAAACACATGGCTGGAGGGCACACACCACTTCAAAAAGCAACAGACTGATTAACTAAGCTGTCTGCACCTCAGAAGACAATTCAAGAAGCAAGGAATTAAAAATAGAGAAAGGAAGAGAGTACTAAAGCCAGGAAGGATGCAGCACGTGACACACAGTATTCTTAAAACCATACAGCATTAAAAAAAGCAACTGGCAAAACAAACAGCACAAATACCTGCTTTGTGGATTTAAACCATGGGGATGAGGCACCGGTGTTGGCAGAAGGTGCTAGAAGCAGATTAAATTGTGGGGATGACAGTGCCAGGGGAGAGTCTGAAATGCTTCCCATTATTTCCTGATCAGGCACCGATTTTGCTCACGAGAAACAGAGTGACTCCAGCCCTAGATTGGTTCAAGCACCCAGCTTTGGTATAAGGAAACGTTATGCTCAAATATTTGGGGTGTTAAAATAATACAAAAACATCTCTGAAAATGCTATTGCATTTTATTTGTCCATAAAAGAGTATAACCCTACTGAATGCCTCATATGATTTTATATGCATTCTTGTAGAATCAGAATGCAGCGTGTTGTTAACGGTGATGCATTTTTAATAGACTTTTAGTACAATGCTGTACATAATTTTGCTAACCTTCCCTTGAGCAAACCTTGTAAAATTCATCATTTTTCCCTCCTGTTTCCAAGTCTTCACTATTATCTAAGTCCTACACGAGAAGCACAGAATGACTTCTAGTTCTATTAGAGTGCGAATGTCTCTGCACTGGGGAAGAAAAGAAAAAAATCTTACACAAAGAAAGATGCATCTTCCACTCACTGCATTCCAAAGTTGATTCAGCCAGAGTTCATGAGACACAGAGAACTTTGCCTGACCACCACTTGGAAGCCAGCATTCCAACAAACACCTGAGCTGTGACCTCAAGCAGTCACAGCTCAGGAGGGTGCACTCAGTTCTTCTATTCAAAGTCAACAAATGTCCTTGTAGTCTGATACTGGAAGTGCTTCTTTTGAGGGGGGCATGGGAGGGGAGAGAGATTAAAACTAAATCTAAGCATCTAAACCCCTTCCTCACTTTCACTGAGCTTTCCTTAAGGAAAGCTTAAGTTACCAGGCTTAACTTGCCTGATAACTTCACCCACATCAGACAGAATAAATTTTATTCCGAATGCACAGAGATGGTTGTCATGATCCCTCCAGATAGCCCATAAAATGTTTTAGAATACTCTGATATGAGGAAGCTTTATAAACACAACATTTTGGCCTGATGCTTTTCCCTTATTTCTCTTATAAGCAACTTCTCACCTGTTCCAAAATCCAGCATTATTTTCATAGTTCTGAGGCACAATGTTAGAGAGATAAAATGTTTCAGCCATGGCTCTCTGCGTAAAGAAAGAAAACAGTATCATTTCATTCAAACATCTGAGCTACAAATACATCTCAGAAGCTTCTGGATCACAAACCATTTCTATGCAGTTCATTCTTAACATCAACATAAAAAAACCTAAGTCAAAATAACTCGAAAAACAGATTTGGACTAAGAGGTGCATAACCTAAGAGCAAAAAAAGAGCGCTCAACTACACACACATGAGAAAATATGGGAGAAAACAATGCACAACCTTAACCCAGAATCTTCATAGGTTCTGTGCTTGTCAATGCTTTTCAGATATTCTTCATCAAAGCAAAGGGGCCGACAGAACAGGCAAACACTATCTGCATTGACTGAGCTGTGGAATTAAGGTTTTATAACCCTGCTTGTATTGGGAAGACTGTATTATGTCAGTGCACTTCAAACCAGGAGAAGGATCATTCTGTGCAGTCAGCTCACCTGCTAGAACTCCCCAGGTATCACAAACAACCACACAAGGACACTTCCAGGAGGAATAAAATGAGTGGTTCTTTCATTCACCCCGTGCCACTGTGCTGCTGCTGTGCCCCAGAGTGCAGAGCAGAAATACAAATTCAAACTGCTACTTAATTGACAAATTGCCTGCATTAGGCACATTTCACAAGAGGATCCAATAAATCCAAGCTGCTTTGTTTGGCAGCCAAGGCATTAGGGCATGCCTTTCTTACATCTCAAACAAACGGCAGGTGAAGACATTTTATAGACTGAAAGAACTATGGCAAAAGAAGGTTCTAATTTACCTTGTGCACACTGCCAGAAAGGAAAAAGCTTTGTAAATCATCCAGTCAATCCTCTTGCCAATGTGGGATAGTACTTAACAGTACATTTGCTTTGCCCAATCTAGTCTTAAATGCTTCAAAACCTGCTGGCCAGAATGAAGTCATCTTTCCTCGTCTCCCTTTAACCTGAGTTTCAGAGGATACCTCTGTGGTTTGGCTGGTGAACATTCTCACATTTGTTACACTGACAAAGTGACATACAAGAGGATGAGGAGAGTTGTTCAACACAGTACTAAACATTTATCATCTCTGCCAGACACGCTAACCTAGGTCTGATTCAATGCAGAGAGGTACATCAACACAGGACAATCAGGGCACTCAATTTAGACCCCCAAAGTACAACAAGAGCATCCTACAGCACTCAGGTTATGAAGAGTCCAAGTTGAGACCTGTGTTTCAACAGAGACCATATTCCAACTCACAACAAACAGCAAACAGAACACGATCCATCACTTCTAAGGGTCATTTGACCCTTTCTGAGAGAAAAAAACCAAACATGGTTTAAAAAAAATAATACAAAATTCCTACTGTTGAAAATTTGTTATCTCCTGCTGGTGCCATGTGTCCTCGTGACCATCCGCTCCCAAGGTAGTCTTCATTGACAGCACTGAACATCAGAGGGATGTTAGGATCTGGTCTGAATTTACAGTGCCTTCGGTCTGCATTGCCTAAGGAAGAACACACTCAATTGTTATCATTAGGTTAACAACAAACATCTCCCCACACCACCCACATTTAAGGACTCAACCCAGTTTGAACTGATTCTAAATGAAGTATTTTTCTCCTCAAACACTGAAGAGAAGGATTCTCCTCACGGACCTCTGCTCCAGTTCTACATTCTCTTCCCTTTTTTCCCTGCTACAGACTCACTAACATGCTTTCTGTTTTACAGAGATAAACAAAAGCAAAATACTTTAGCCTTATCATAAAGGTAGATGAACATTAAAGGTGAGACCATTAAAGATACAAACCAACATAGAAACTCTCTTTAGGAGCACAAAGATACACAGACCCTCACCAGTTTCATTTCAATGTCTGAGCAAACTACAAGCATTTCTTCTTCTTCCAAGTCTAGCCAGGAAGGAAAATGGCTGTGTTTCAAGAAAGTTACAGTTGAAGAAATTAACAATGTTCTTTTGAGTAGGTTATTTCTTCTTCACATACACAGAAGAGCTCTCCTGTTCCTCTCCAGGATTCCTGTGATGCCTCTCCAGATAGTTGGATAAAATGCACAAAAATGACTATGCCCGAGTCTTTTGAAGCCATCTATCTTTTGAGATAGAAGGAAGCTCCCACTTCTCTTTTTTTTTTTTCCTTCTCTTTTTTTCCATCATATAATCTAAAAGCAGAATGTTTTTGTGGCAAATACAAAATTGAGTTATGCCCTAAATCTCAGATTCAATAGTTATCAAATATAAATCTCGAGATGAATGCCTTATGATGTTTAACTTCAATTTGCTGTTTGCTGCATCTGATCACTTGGAAAGCATTTTAACAATTCAACTGTTAAGTCCTGCTTGAAAGTAAGCCTGGAATTACTGCTTTATTCTCAGAAAGAAGTGGAATCGATGCTACTTAGGGGTTGGCCATAAATATTTTCAGGCTCACCATTTTAATTTTGAAAGGTAATTTGAAGACAATGATTAAGATATATTTAGAGAGCTACTGCTTTCATAAAACATTTTACAATTACACAGTTATCTCCATTATTAATATTTGCTGCATAAAGACTGAACTAATGCTATAAACTTAATTTATAATGACTGCATGCTATTCATATTTCATTCAGCTCTGACAGCAAAAATCACTGAGTCTTGCATAAAGAACAAGGGAGAGTGTATTAGATAATGCACATAAGAAAACATAGCAGAACTGCAGGGAAGTAGGTAATGACTGCAGGGAGCAGGTATGCATTATCTGGCTTTGAACAATTGTAACTGTTGGTGCCCTCTGCTCCATTTTCATCTCAAACACACATTCATCTCTTCTTTCCATTCTGAGAAAACCTCTTCAAGATCTATAGGCAAAACTGTCTAGCTATTAGAGGCATTGACTCATGTGGGGCAGTACCTCAGTTGACACAGACTGGCCCACTGAACTAACTACATGAGCTAAGGAAGAGAGCAATTCTGTGGAGTTAAGCAACAAGGCTGAACTTTGCAGGTCTGAATCATATGAGAAAAGTTTAATTTTCAGCTTTATTTTCTTTGCATTCATTTTGAACAGATGGAAGCTTCATTCCAGCAACATGTCTTAAAGTGTTTATGCTGATACATACAGCTATGTTGATCTGGTGCTTTCTGACTTTCACAGAAATTCTCACTGAAAGCTGGAGTTCCTAGAATCATAAAATCATTCAGGTGGAAAGAGACCACCGAGATCATCTCATCTATCTATCTACTCATTCTCACCATGCTCACTGGTCCATGCTCCTCAGTACCACATCTCTTTGGTTTTGGAACACCTCCAGGGACAGTGATTCCACCACCACCCTGGGCAGCCTGTGCCACTGCAGCACTACTCTTCCTGGGAAGAAACATTTCATGATCTCCAGCCTGCACATCCCCTGGCATAACTTGAAGCCATCACCTGAGACTGACTGCCATCTCTTCTTCATTACTCCCTTTCACATGCAACCCTTGGGCTGAATGTGTCTTGCAGGCCTCGGGACACTGATGTGCAATACCAGACTAATGCAAACAAGCAAACAAAGTGCTATATCTCTTTTAATTTCACTATATACATCAACCTTAACACTGTAAAGGAGCTGACACCCATCCAGAGGCCCACTGCCCCTCGTAGGACCCTGAGTGGACGTAAAAATCCGTGTCTAGAGATCACTACAGGTTTTTTTTCTCCCAGCATGTTCCTGGGTCCATCTTTCATAGAGTGCAAATCTCATTCCAGCCTCTGTAAGTGAAAGGAAATAAAGACCCACGTACCCAGCATCTTCTGTTTTGAAATATGTTCAATCACCCATCTAGGCACCCGCTTTGCCTGGTCATAAGACAGCGCATGATTTGTGTAACATCTGGTCTCTGTTCCAGCTTCAGGGAATCCGTATTTTTCCAGCAGAGACTCTTCTACTGGTTCTAAGGAGAAAAATAAACAGAAACTTAAACCCAATCCACCCCACCGGGCCCACGTCCCTCCGTGCCACATCCCTACGGCTCTGCAACGCCGATAGGGGAGGCGAGCCCCACCAGCCGAGGATCGCCGCTCCACACCTCTTACCCTCGGGGCTCGGCTCCGCTTGGCTCTGGCTCCGCAGGAGCCGCCACGCTGCCCAGCACGAAGCGGCGGCGCCCGCCGCAGCCCCGCAGATGAAGCCGCCCAGGAAGCGGCGGTGGCGGGGCACGGCCGCCATGTCGGAGGGACGGAGGGAGGCGGTGCTGCGCTGTAGCGCCCTCTGTCTGCCCGCCATGGCAGCGTCAGCTCAGCTCCGCTCTGCCACAGCAGTGCGCTGCTAACGAGGGGAAGGAGCTCCTCGAGAGCTGTAAACAACGCGAAAGAATAACGCAGCAGGAAATTAGATTAGTGCTAGGTTTTCCTCTTCTATGAGCACCCTATCCCTCCCCACCAAAAACCTGACCAGTTTAGCGATGGAAGCCGCTGATATATGATGGCTCGGACCTCCCACCATCAGTTGCCTGAAGGATCATAGAATGGTTTGGTTGGAAGGGATCTTGAAAGCCACCCAGTTCCAACCCCTGTTGCCTGCCACCAGCTCAGGCTGCCTGGCTCCAAGTACCTCCAGTGTCTGGGCAGGGCAGCAGCGCCTCACTGCCCCGAGCAAAGCATTTCCCCCTCTTTCTGTTTAATGCCATTCCCCCTTGTTCTGTCCCAATCAGACTGTGAAAAGTTACTTCCCCTCCTGCTCATCAACTCCCTTCAAGTACTGGAAGGCCGCAATGTCTTTGTCTTCTCCATGTTGAACAAGCCCAGCTTCCCCAAACTTCCTTCATAGCAGAGGTGTTCCAGCCACTGAGCATCCTTGTGGCCTCCTCTGAACCCATAAAACAGCTCCATGTCTTTCTTGGGCTGGGGGAAGGCCAGCTGGGCTTCAATTGGAATTACTTCTTGCAATATTTTTCGAAATCTAGACACCTCTGTCTAACTGAAACTTCTTGGATACCTAGAGGTGGTGAGTGGAAGCTCTGCTCCAGTCCCAGCTCCCTTAGCTGAGCAGAAGGCACTAGAATTCAAAGTCCTGGCATTGAGCTTAACTCCCATCACTGCCAGCTGTAGTTGAACGGGCTTGCTATCAGTACAGCTTAGCATGCAGACAATACAGTTTGAACTGCTCTTCCCTGGGTATGGCAAGCACTGTTATAGTGCTACAAGAGGCAGCAGCTATCCAAGCTAATTCCTTCTGCCCGTCAGAGCGGTTTGCAAACCACGAGGAGAGGCTGAGACCTCTACAGTGATTTAGCAGCAGACACCACTGAAACATCGAGAAGTCCTTCTATAAGAAGGAAATACTTCAGCTTGACGTCAATGCTATTACCAAACAGCAATGATTCTTTAACGTCGCAGTGACAACAGAAGCAATTGTTTGTAATTTATTGTTTATTTTCATATACAAAAAGATAAACTTGAAATAGTTCTTTCTAGTTTTTTTTTTTTTTCCTTTTTTTTTTTTTTTTTTTTTTTTTTTTTTTTTTTTCCTCCTATCTGTTGGGGTGTAGCTGCTTCACACAGGGCAAATACTACATTCATACTGGTTTATTCGGACGCCCAGTGCAAAGCTGAAGCAGCGAAACTCCAACTTGGCAGATCTAATTTCAAACTTGAGACTCATTTCTAAAATACCACAGTAAAAAGGAACAAAGATCCACTGCAAATTCATGAACTATGATACAATGTTCTTTCCGAAATGTCTTCACTTCATAACTGCAATACAATGGATGTCTGCATTAGGCCATTTTATACGTACATTGTATATATATACACACACACACATATTATTTTGCAGAATATATATATATAATATACGTATAAAAATCAGCACACTTCAGTCCAAAAGGGGTTACAGCAATGAGCTTACCTCTCTGTATACTTTTTTAACAGGATACTTTAGTATAACTTTTGTTAACTCAGTAGTACAAGCTATCTCTGTTCTACGTTTTCATAGCTACAAGAGTGAAATATAACCTACAACATTTACATTTCACATATCTTGGTATACAAACAGTACTTATTGAATTTGAGCCAAGGACCAAAAGACTCTTTAAAAATTATTTCACCATCTGATAGAGCTTCCTGTATTTTACACTCAGTTTATTCTGCAATCTTCTAAATCATTGACGTAATCTCATAGTTTGAGTTTAAACCCATTCAAACTGGAAATCCTGGAGAAACAGGTTACTGCAAACTCTTATGTATACTCTATATATACAAGTTAAGTAACACAGCGTAATAAGACTTAGCTATTTATCCTAAAACTGATATACACATATTTCACTACGCTAGACAAGTCTTAGGATTTTTATTTTATTTCTTTAAATAAAGCACAAATTTAGAAGTAGCTGGTAAAACTTACAATAAGATGGTTTAAAATGACAAATGGTCAGGGTGAGATTTCTTTCTGCTGGTGCCAAAACATTATCTTGTGAGTTTTGTACTATGCTGTGTTGTTTAACTGTATGTGTCTAATGTTACATGCAGAAAGCTCTTTCCACAAGAATTGACATCAAACTGTACTCAGGTCAGCTTTACAGTATAAAATTTGTCAAACTTAAGGACAAATGTGAAAATATTAACAGGTGAAAGATCAGGCTTTCAACTCTATCATGAGGATCATGCAGAATTCATAAGCAGATAGTTTGAGTAGATTGACAATGGCATTGTGCGGACTTATGGCATAGAATAGAGGTCAAGAATGTTACTTAGTTTGCAGTAACCACCTCCTTCAACTCTGATCACTAACAGATCAACTTTTGCATCACAGTATTATTCCACTGGAAGGCCAACAGCATTGCAAAAGGTCTTCTTCTGGGAGATCTTAATATTTTTGTACATAATTTTCCAAAGGTAATCATAAACCACCAGCAGCTGTAAAAGCTTTAGAAGGTTTCGTCTAAGCAAGTCATTGCTGTTGAAGGCCTGCTTTTATGAGAAGGTTACTGGGAGAAGGGGGGATGGAAAAAGGAAAGGGCCGAGATAGGTCCCAGGTCTTGCCAGCGTGTTTCCTGCTATCCAATAGATTGTGCTGGTGCTTAGCACACATTCAGAAGCTACAACTCCTCCAACTTCCTCCTGCTCCCGGCTGTTGGTTTTTATTTGGTATTTATTTTTTAATGAGGGGGCCACTCCAGAAATGCCGGTGACTACTGAATTAGGATTTTAAATGACCAGGATGGTTCTGGTTACACTTCAGTTCCTCAGAACGTTGGAAAAGTTGAGTAAAGTTTGGCCAGTTCCCTCCCTTTCACCAAAACAAAAGCTAATAAAGTCTTCCCAGAATATACTCAGGTTTTGCAATACTAACCTTACTGGAATATTATATACCGAGTTTGATTGGTTTTTAACAATTGGAAAGATTAAAAAGCCTCTGCTTCAAAACTGGCCAATCACATCGTCTGCCCCATTAAAATACTGAAATAAAAAGGCTGACAAAGGAAGCACTTTCCAGAAAACACTTTTTCAATACATATCCAGCACAATGCCATTATAGAGCTTCAGGGAAGCTCCCTTTTGGTTTCAATGTTGGAAAACAAAAGCTTTGCTTTTTTCCTTCAGTCCTTGGGGATCACTTTCCATTTATATATATCTAACACATACACGCATATATGTATATGATACATATATATAAACACCCATACATAGCAAGGTTCCTGTTTGTTATGTTACAATATTGTAGTATCAAGGAGAATCCAGATAGCAACACTGTTTAACATGAGGTTTGAGGTAATTGGTTCTTGAAATACCTGGATCACAGACTGCATCCAGAAATAACAGCTGGGCAATGAAAACTGGTTTGCTTGTTTGTTTGTTTGTTTGTTAGACAGAAAAAGAAACATAAAAACTAGTTAAAGGAGAAAAAAAAAAAACATCTTACAGCAGTTGCTTTTACATGGAAAAATAAAGGCACAACAGAATAGCATTACATTTCAGAACAGCTGGATGGATGTAACACAAGCATGATCTCTTTCTGTGGATGTGTCCCGACAAAAAGGATTACCCAGAGGTTATTACTTCAGTCAGGGAACAGAGCTTCATCCTAAAACTACTGTATTAGAAAAGAAGTCCCATGTGAGTGAGTGAATGAGGGTAATGACCAGGAACACAAACACACTTATGGTCCCACTGAATTAGATGGAAGCTTCCACAGGGCCAGGACTTCACCAAGGACACAGAAGTAGGATTCAGCAATGGCAGGAGCCTGCTCTCAATCATTCAGCACCAATTTCAGAGGCACACTGTCAAAAAAAGCTTCCAAGCAGCACAGTGCATTGCTTGGCTTTAAGTTTTCTTCGGTAACTCTTACCCTGCTGACACCGTATTGTCAAGACTAGGAAAGCTAAAGACTGGAGTGATTTTTAGGTCCAACAGGAAAAGTCAGCTCACGTGAAAACATTTGCAGCATTTTTCTTTAATATTTTTAGTATACCTTAGTTTGGCTACACAAATTAGGAATGCTCTTTTTCTAAGTAGGACTCCGGACATGACAGTGCTCTTTTTTTTTTTTTTTAGTGCTGCCAACCCAAACAGTGAAATCTACCATTGGAAACACATCTGAGTGTCCTGGTGAAGTCTGATTATTTGTGTCACTTCAGAGAGAAGGAACTTCTAGGAAATGCTTTTATCAAGACTTTGCTGGCAACAGCTCCTTACAGATCATATTGTCAATGCAGCAGACGCAGCTGCTATAAACGGATACGGCAGTGAGCGAGATCTGCCCGTTTGGTCTCCACAAATTCCTAACACCCTGCCTTCACAACTCACTGCAGCATCACAGCATATGTCAAGACACACTGCTCACACACGGATACTTGCACGAATGCATGAAAACACTCTTCCTGGTTCAACTGAAGATGGTCATAGAAAAGCAACAAGCATCTCTAGCAGAAGGGATGCAACATGCAAGATAACCTGTTAAACAGTCAGTGCCGCCCTCAAAGCGTGTCCAAGTACATCCAGACTTGCTCCTCACACTAAACTTGTTCTATCCTCTAGACTTTGATGTAGTGCACATTTAATTTAAACATTTTATATATATATATTTATTCGCTGTGCATACACATGCCATTCTCCCTTTTCCCTGCAGAAACATATTAGACGTTACAAAAATAATTTGTGGTATAAAAGAATTCTCACACAATGTAGAATTTTTTGTTTGTATATGTAACTAAAATATATATATATATATTTCCAAAAGTAAAAAAGTCAAAATGTCCTTATTTTCCTCTATTATATAGTCTATTTTATTTACAATGTTACCAAACAATATTCTGAATGTAAAAGTGATAATAGTTTGTGGGACACTTCCTGCTTATATACTTCTCAAGGGGAGCGTGGCTTGTAGAGGACTGCAACAACAGCACTGTCACAATGCTATCAACCAGCTCCTTCCTCTGCAATAGGAGTTTCTTCCATACTAAGTGAAACCACATCTTTCACCTGCAAAACAGGAAAATCCTGACAGCCTGCCCAGAAAGCAGCACAGGAGGAACAGAATTTGAGCTCTCCAGTTTCTGTGGGGTGATATTAAGGGAGATCAGTGTTCCTGATGGGAAAGGCCTATCCAGCCAACCTGGAAGTACCCACCAGCAACACTGCTGAGCGGTCCCAATGCTGCTCCTACTGAAATGAATAACTTCAACAGAAACAGCAGTGAATCACAAGGACCTAAGTAATGCAATGGAGTTACTGGGGGATACTCACATCCTTTTTTTTTTGTTTTGAAACAAACGTAAACACAAAGACCTTGGCATTGCCATAGGTGTAACTTGACCTAACATAGCTTATGCTGTATGAGAATTTCAGCAAAAGAATGAGGCAAAATAAAAAGTGTTTTTCTTTTTGTCTTCACTAGAGAAAACTCCACGATCAGGACTAGCTAAAATCCTTCAACAGAAGAGTAAGGCAGATGTCATTGCACTGATGGTTAGACTGGTTTATAGCCTTCTCTCATGCACATAAATTTCAATATGAACCTTGCTGTACTAATGCAACCGTATTAGCAAGTCACAGCTCTGTCATCTCAAGAATGCAATTTTAGCTATTTCCAACCTCAAAATGTGAGCTTCCTCCACCCGGGAAACCAACACAGCCAGCGCAGTAAGTTCTTAAGGGTCATTAGATTTCCTCTATTATGTAGATATGATTCTATATTCTATGATTCTATGATTAGACCAGAGAGAAGGGAATGCTGGCTCCTGAAGTCATGGAAAATTTTTAACATTGACAGAACTGCCTGCAATATTCAAGGTTAATATTTACCTAAACCACTACACGAGAGAAGAAGGTCAACAACAAAATCGTACATCAATAAAATTTGAAGAGGGAGTGAAATTTATAACATACGTTGTACCCATCACGTTCATGGGAGTGTTAAAGGGGAAAGAGTCACAACTGCTTATTACAGCTACACCAATGGATGTGCCCAATGCTGGCTAGGAAAAAGCCTCCGTGATACTGAACAAAACCAAGATCGTATTGTCATTGTGAGTTCAAATGCTACGTTGGCAGTGAGGAAACTATTTGCTTGACAGCTCAAGTATTGAAAGACCAGTAAGTTCATCAGAGCTTTCCTTCATTAATAAAATAAATACCAACTGAAAGGACCACTTCAGATAAACTGACAGGATTTTGTACATAGGCAAAAATTCAGAATACCCCTCTCTGCTGTGGCAGCAAGACACAAAACTCAACACACATTTAAAATTTCTATCTGAGCACACGTGCGTTTTGGAAATTCTCTTAAAAGTCAGTTGCTGAATCCTGTTGACAAGATGATCTATAAGGAAGCAGTAGACCAGGGAAGTTGGGAACACTTACAATCAACATTCGGTCAGGCTTTGTACGTTGGCACAGCTCCCCACAATCAGATACGCTACACGCGAGACTTTCTGTGCATGCTTTCTCAAAAGAGAAGGTTTATGAGACTGTCTAATAGGCTATTAAAATCATATGGCACTTTCAATAAATACTTTAAAGCTTCTTAAAGAAATCACGATAAAAAAGCAACTGCTGTAATAAGCCTGTTTTAGCCATTATACAGAATGCCGAAGGAAAAAAAATCCAGAACAGCAAACAGATACTGATAGTTAAAAGACAGTACAGCTTTTTTCTTTCTGCAGCAAAGTGAGCCAGCTCCCATTCCTGGGGAACACAGAGCACGCCCACCTCGAAACAAGTATTCGCTCAGCATTAATTCCGTTCTAGCCTCCACCCCACCCTTACATCACTTCACTTCTAAAACATAGTCACATTTTTATATAAATCTCAGTGCAGAAATGTATTAGAATGTGAAAAATGCTGATCCTTGCAAACGTTTATGACCGTGCTTAACATGAAGCGGGGGACTTATGTCACGACACCAGAAGAGCTCCCTACACACTTCATGTTCAGCATGGGCAAGGCTGCAGCATCAGCTCGAAGACATCAGCCCCTCCAGCACCATCATCTGAGCCCAACTGGTACCATCCTGTCTGCTTTTGTCACTGTGTTCTGAACAGAATTACATTAAGAAACAGAAACTTCCAAACCTACACACAGAAATACAGTTACATGTGTGTACACACTAATATGCAATATACATTCAATAACTTGAAAGAATAGGTTAAGACTTTATTCAGATAGACAAATTAAGGCAACTATCTTAATGTCTCTTCAAGAGAAAGGACCGCGTCCTCATTTGTGATCTCTAGGTTTTAAAGCTATATATATATATTTTTAAGAGATATATTTCAATTTACTCTATATTGTCTCCACATTTTCTCCAATTAGTGATTTTTGTTTGCTTAATAAATTCCATTTGTGCAAGGGTCCACGCTGACAGCTCGGCAGCGACAAGAAGTCCAATTCATGTACAGACTTTTGATTTTTCTGTTTGTTTTTTTCCTTCTCAAAGGATGATTAGCTCAGGACTGCATTTTGGCTTAATAGAAGGAGAAATCTGAATGTTCTGGCCATCCAATGGATATAACTTTGTCAGTCTAGCAAGACATAGAATTCATGTTAGATTCAAAGATCAAAAAATGAAACAAAATAACACTAAAAAAAAGAAAAAAGAAAAAGATGTACTGTCCTTTCGCTAAAACAGACAAGAATGAAAACAAAACACAGAATGGAAACAGCCTTCACAAATAAGTGTGAATAATGCCCAGGTACCTTATACAGGCAGTTATTCTACAACTGTATAGTTATTTACAATGGTGCTTTATAAAACAAACAACAACGACGACAACAAAATAAAAACAACGGTAGCACTTCCTAAAAGATTTTGGAACTTTTTTTCTTTTTTTTCTTTTTTTAAAACTCCCTTGTCATAAAAGCCAACTTACATTAAAATATACTTACTACAAGACAACACAACTAACAAAATATATAATAAAACTCATACAAGTAGAAAATTCTGAGGTATTTCTGGTTTGAGGTGGTCTGTGGTCATGAAGTTTTTAATTCTTTTTTTTTTTTCAGTTTAAGCCTCGGAAGCCACGTAACGTGTGTATGTGTGTGTTTTGTGTTCTTATTTTTTTTTTTTCTTTTTCCTTTTTTTAAACATTGCATGTTTTTGCAAATTAAAAAAATATCTCAATGTTGAATCAGCAGCATTAGGAACATTCACTGACTAGAGCAAGTTTATGGCATAATAAGAGTAATGGTATTTCAGAATATGCACCACTTTAAGACGAAAAGAGTTTAGTCGCAGAGTACGGAGAAAGCAGCGTCAAAGAAACCAGGCTGAGGGATGCTGAGGATCACTGCTGCTGCTCAGCTACCTCTGCACTCTGTAAATGTACAGCTCATGGGCTTCTCGGGTGCTACAGGAGCCATCTGCCACTGGTTCAGGTAATTTCCACCTCCCTACAACCCCAAATTAAAGAACAAAGAAAAATTACAGAGCCAGCGTTCACACTTCTCCGCCCTGCACCATCTGTGCCAGTGGCTGGGCTGGCAGATAATCAAACCCGAGGGCAACATTTCTTGCACTGACTCACACTTTAAGAGAGATGCAAACATCTTCTTATCTTCCAGTATTTTCTTCTAAGAACACATTTTCCCACCTCTTCCAATTACACTTCTTAAAAAGCAATCTTCCTGTTACTATCCAGATTTGAAAAATAGAAGGTAATTACAGTTCTGCTTTGTTCTCTTACCACCCAAGAGCCAGATACTGGAGGAAGAAGTAACCAGTGCCTTGCTTGAAACCACTGGCTCTTTAATTCTGCTTTCTCCACACACTGCAGCTGTTAATACTCTGCCCAGAAATGTCCTTCCCCTCCTCTAATGGTTACCTGAGAAGTAGCTCCATAGCAAATGATGTTTCCCCAAATGCTGCCAAGTCCAACGTCGCTCTCCCCACCCCCATTCTACGCTCCCCCCTTCAATTCTACCACCAAGAATTAACATTCGCCGCCCGGTTACTTTTTTCCATGTTACAATGACACCCGTTAGATCCGTAAAAGACACATCTGCTGTGTTTGTTTTTTTTTTTTTTTTTTTTTTTTTTTTTTTTTTTTTTTTTGAAGCTCACTTCCAAATAAAATAACCCAACACGGAACAGAACCCAGGAACGAAACAAAATGGGGAAAAAATCCTTTTGAGGAAGGTGTAATCTTATGTAACAGTCTTAAGTTTCCTCCAAAGTTTGCAGCATTGCGTTTTCTAAGATGATAGGTGGTTTTCCTTTATGTCACAGATGTTCTGCTCAGAAGACAGACTGATAAAGAGAAACCCAGAAAACTCAATTTAAAAAACAACAACAACAACAAAACAACTGAAGTGAGTTTGTTGAGGTTCTGAGGTACCTGCACCTTTTCTGCATTCATTAGTCGGCACCTGAATGCTTGCTGAAATGTCCATTTGTTAATACAGTAGAGCAATGTGCTGGTAAAATTGATCCAATCCAAAAATAATAATAATAATAATAATAACAATAATAATAAAAAGTCAAGATAAAATAGCAGCTGCATTCACGTGTTTGTTGGATTTTTATGGTATTTTTTTTTTCTTTCTTCGTGTGTTTTCTTTTTTTTTTTTTTTTTTTTTTTTTTTTTTTTAAACTTTTTTCAAATCCACTGAGTCTGGAAAGACAAAAGCGAACCAGGACTTAGATACTGGACTCTTTGGGCGGCAAGTCCACGTTGGTGACGGACGTCACGATGGAGACGAGGCAGTCCGAGGTAGTGCCGTTGACGGATTTGCGGATCTGAGCAATGCGCTCCTCGACGCAGCCTGCCGAGAGCCGAGCCTCTGCGTCGTGGTCCCAGCACTCTTCGATGGTCACGCAGAGCTGCGCCAAGCCCTGAGGAGAGAGAAAGGAAAGATAAACGTCTCCCCACGACGCGCAAATCAGCGCTCTGAGCACGGAGCTGCGGGTCTCCCTGTTGGTGGCGGGCGAGTTGGGACCGGACGGACCTTAAAGATCCAACTCAAATGATTCTGTGATTCTATCATGAGATTCGTTTTACAAAGCACTCTCAACACGTGTGTTATCAGGTTTTTTTGAACTTTCAGTTTCTAGGACTGAGGGCTTTGCTCACATCTGCCTTTTTTCATAGACCTGAAAGTACTTTTTTTCCCCACATCAAAGTACATCATGAAATTGAGCATTTAAAGCTTCAGAAGACAAGATATGAAGTGTTACAATTCCCATGATAAAACCACCAGTGCTGGCAGCACTGTATCAGTTACTACGAAATGATAGCTTTGTTTGCAATCGCTTCTGTACAATCCTCAAAATAACTGAATACAACACTTAGAGTACATGTTAGGAAGAAATTCTTTGCTGTAAGGGTGGGGAGACACTGAACTGGTTGCCCAGTGAGACTCTGGACATCCCCTCTCTGGAAGCACTCAAGGCCAAGCTGGATGGGGCTGTGAGCAACCTGGTCTAGAGGGAGGTGTCCCTGCTTATAGCAGAGGGTTGGAACTGGATGATCTTAAAGGTCCCTTCCAGCCCAAACCATTCTGTGATTCTATGATTCAATGAATGTTGCTGGAAGAGTACGGCTCTGTTTGAATCCCACTCACCCAGAAACCACCACACTTGTCTTTACTTACACTCAGCAGCTCTCCCTAACTTCCAGGCAATGCATTAGTACACCTGAGCCCAGCCAAAACAGCAGCAGTTTGGCCCAAATGGAGGCATTTAGCTTCTTACTGAAGCCCTGTGAGATTTCATAACCTGCTCCCTCCTTTCCCAGTCTGAAAAAATCAGCGCGCTTATTAAAAACGCTCATCTGAAATGATCTACCTCTGGGAAACCCACACTGCACTTTATTTCATTGTCTGTTTGCCTTCACATCTAATTAATTTTTCCCGTAAAAATGCTTCAAGTCTTGCATGCTATCTAGCTTGCGAGGAATACGTCTCTGCTGGTATGCACCATTCTCTCTTTCTCAATGAATGGGAACTTTCCATTATTTCACCATATTAAATGAGTCCTGCTAAACAAACACTCCACGATACGTTCCATGTTCATTTGCTGATTTTAATCAGCTGGTTTATCCTCTAAACACAAAAAGGAACAAAGGGAAAGGGGAAGCGTTCTCTGCCAAAGGTTGTGCTAGGACAGTACCAGGCAGTGGTGAGGACATGAAGGTCACCTGCAGTTTAGTTTGTGCCTCGAGGCTACCAGATTCCCAGAACACCATTTTCCCGCATTTTTTCCCTTTGAAGCTAACACATAACCACATCTCTCATTCCCATCATGCAGGAAAAAACATTTGCCCATCGACCAAGGGGGACATACAGGGTGTTTCAGCCAATGATCCTTGAAGATGGGGCGCATCTTCTTGTGAACGACCACTTCTTGCAGGTCCTCGAGGGATGGGTGCTGACCTATTTCTTCTTCAAAAGGCAGCATGTATTCATCCACTGGACCTACAGTGCAGGTGGAGAATTGGGTTAGTACAGAAACGGCCTGTGTGGAGCCACAGTCTCTGCAGAGCTGCACCCTCCCCATGCACAAGACATGGCTCCTCAACCCATCGCAGCAAAACAACCTAGAGAAAGGTTTCAGCATGAGCATAATTTCACTTTAGGCACTGAGTAGCAAGGTCAAGCGTACACAGCACTTGCAATCCCTTTTTTGACCTGGCTTGTTCTTAGATTTAAGTCAGCTCTTACCAGGTAGAGCCAGATGCACTTGTCCCAGGTGCTAGCTCCAAAGTGCAAAATGATTTTGGAATGCTTTAGTTCTACCAGTTATGGCTGTGAAATGCTCTGGGCCAAGAGAATGAGAGAACTGTTATGAAGTATCAGAGCAGACTCCAGACTGCAGCAATAACTTCTGCTCATCTAAACGTCATTTGGCCTTTGGCAATGTGCAGATGCCCTCTCAAAAAGCACAGCCCAGCTTAACTGATGAACTTTCTCAGGATGCTTGGTTGCATTACTTATGGTTTCCCAGAAGCAAAGAGTGATCTCTTTCAATAGCAAAGATAATTCGAGAGGGCTTTCCCAGACTAAAATCAAAGAGCCAACCACCTTAGCTGGTCACGAACTGGGACACCTAGAAAATTATGTTTAGGTACTTAAAACAAGCAAACAAACAGACAAGTCAACAACAAAAACGCCAATCACTAAAATATCTTATCATAGTTCCTGTTGACGCGATGCCCGTCAGCGAAACAAACTGAAATGCTTGTTCCAACAGACAACACAATAATGTTTGTGACCTTCCATTCCTCATCTTCAAAGAGGAATCAAAGCTATAAGAAGTTGTGCTAGTGATCACCAAGACAAACCTGCTGTTAGTCACACACACTCACAACCTATCCTAACAAATTGACAACACTGTTTCAGAAATCACACTCACTGCAAGATAGGGACTATTTGTCACTGAAGCCAGCAGACACAATTCTGACCATAACGATGCAACAGACCTGCACAGTGAAGTGATGCAATTTGCACAGTATCACTTCTGAATTAAAAGAGTTTGTGAGGTTAAGCTTAACTCCCCTTCATCCCTGCTCCTCTGGTATTTTATATGATCCACAAGAACTTTTTGAAAAAACACATACCTAGGTACACATCCTGATTATAAACAAGGACCTTAGTGCTATTACAATATTAACATTCATGTTTAAAGTCCAGGTAAGGTACTATTAATTCATGAGCTTGATATTCAGCATGGAGCACCCATATTGTCACAAGGAGTTGCAGCTTCCCTGACCAAGAACAAGGTCCTGCAAATGGCAAGGATGCACCAGAGAACCGATGCGCTACTCGGACAGAAAATGAATCCCATTTTGCAGCATCATTTTAGGATAAAAACCCTGAGAAAGGGAACAGCGTGGTATTAAAAGAAGCACTTTCAGACTTGAACATCACAAAAGATTCTTAACCACAGAGAATAACAGCTTACATTAAGAAACAAGCAAATGAAAAACAACTTAGCTGTCTAATGAAAACATGGCATTGATTTTTAATTTATTTTGAACAGAGCCAGGCCGTTCTGTGGGCCAGCAAACCGTGCTGAAACAAAGCCATTCCCCGGGGCAGAGGAGATCTTTATTCTTACCATCAACTGCTCTACATCTGGAGACTAACTCCCATAATACCAGTCCCATTGCATACATGTCTATTCTCAGGAAAGCGTCCCGTTGGAAGTTGATTGCTCCCTCTAACACTTCAGGAGCCATATACCTCCTTGTTCCCACCTGCAGAGAAAGAAACAGCACGAGTTAAATTCCAGTTGGACCCGTCAGCCTCTGTTGGTCAGAGATGAATGACAGCTGCCTTCATTAGCCTGTAGGCTACTTCTGCTAAATTTGCACCTCGCTTGGAAAACAACCAAAAGTGGGCTGTGCCTTCTAACATCGATTCATGATAGGTTCACTTCAGTCTACATAAGCTACCTGAAGGAAAAAGCCAACGTGCACGATGACTACGTGTGTGATATACATTCAGTGTGTGCTATTGGTCTGATTCAGATGCAGCGAGGCATGGTGAGTGCAGATGAAATCCTCTGCATCCCACTGCATCTCGCTCCAGCAGCACACGCTGCATGAGAAAACACTGCCCTTGGAGACAGGCACGACACCTTGAGGTCAAGGCAGACTCGGTTATTGAAGTCATGGAAAGTTCAAGCCCCTTTCACTAAAAATATATAAAAGAAGAGTAAAATCGATGTATTCTGAAGTGGTAGGAAAAAGTATAGGCATGAGTGCCCTGGATAAAACCAACCTCCTACATCCACAGGAATGGTAAAGCACAGACCCTGTGAAGTCCACTCAGCCCCGGTTTGGAAAGGATGCCCTCTCCTCACCATCGTGCACATCTAGGTGCATTCATTCTAGCTGAAAAGCCATACAGAACTCCTTGGATACCCATGGTGATGTAGATGGCAGAACTGAAGTCCACTCAGCCCCGGTTTGGAAAGGATGCCCTCTCCTCACCATTGTGCACATCTAGGTGCATTCATTCTAGCTGAAAAGCCATACAGAACTCCTTGGATACCCATGGTGATGTAGATGGCAGAACTGTAGGCTGTGATGTAGAGAAGGAAGAGCAGAATGTGGCAGAAAACACTTTTTTAAACATGGGAACTGAAATGTCTTTTAAAGCTTTTCTTTAGGGATTTTTCATCATGATTTTGCTATTACCTGGTGAAGTGGGGATAAGGGGAAGCCTAGATGTGAAAAAGCATGGAAAATGCTAGAAAAATCTAAAGAAAGGGAGCAAAAATAAGGAAAGCTATACGGAGCTAACCTGCAATGAAGGTGATCTCTCAGCCTCCAGTCTGCACCTGTACAAACCACTCCCAGACAGGTGGAGCTGTGGCTGGCCTGACTTTTTACAATCTGATTTTGAAAGATAATGATTACCTGTCCATGAGTGTCCCCTGGAGGTTTTCCAGGTTCAAACCGTACAGCAAGGCCAAAATCAGCTAGCACTGCCGTTAAGTCGTTCTTCAGCAAGACGTTTTTACTCTTGAAGTCCCTACAGAGAGATAAGAGGCAGGTTTGGGAGCGTTTATTATGGCATGGGGCTGAATCAGAGTGCAACGCACCACGCTGTAACCTCTAGGTATAACAGCTCTGGGTGGATCTGCTCTTTTTTTCTTTCCTTCTCCAGCTGCTTCCTGCTGTTGGTGTCTGTAAGATGCAAGTGGACAACCCTGTGCTGCTGGGTTAGGAGGGTTAGGAGCCATGTGTGATGTGAAGGTCTGTGCTCCTGCTCCCTGCAGGAGCTCACACTGCACTTCAGGCACATAACCCCAAGCATCCTCAAGCCCTGCCCACCAATGGAATGCATTCCAATCCTGTTGAGCTGCCCCTCTCTCAGAGAACAGCACACAGGGATGGCAAAAGGGCAAAGGAGGGAAAGAAAGCAGAGCCTCAGGAGGGACAAAGAGACAGCAGAAGTCCTGGGTAAATTACTCTCAAAACAAAATACAGATGATAAGATGGATGATCAGTGACTTTCTCACCTGCACTCTGAGTAAGATTTCACACTACTGGATAACTCTGTATCCCTCCCATCCCCACCAAAAGGTCTCGAAAGAAGCACATGCTAAAAAAAAAAAAAAAAAAAGGCCTATATATACATCCCATTCCATTCCAAATGGGATGAATATACAGCCCATTGGAAGGGACCTACAAAGATTACCAAATCCAACTGTCAGACTGCTTGGGGCTCACCCAAAGTTAAAACAAGACTAAAAGCATGATCCAAATGCCTCTACTAAGCACAGACTGGGCTGGAGCATCTCTCCTACAAACAAAGGCTGAGGGAGTTGGACTTCTTCAGCCTGGAGAAGAAAAGGCTGTGAAGTGACCTCATTGCAGTCTTCCAGTACCTAAAAAGAGCCTACAAACAGGAGGGGAGGTCAGTGGCCCTGCCTGTGGCAGAGGGGTTGGAGATTCATGGTCCTTGAGGTCCCTTCCAACCCTGGCCATTTTGTGATTCTGTGAGGGAAGTCAACTCTTTACAAGGGTAGATAATGGCAGGACAAGGGAAAATGGTTTGAAGTTGAAGGAGGGAAGATTTAAGTTGGATATCAGGGGGAAATTCTTTACAGAGAGAGTGGTGAGATGCTGGAACAGCTGCACAGTGAGGTTGTGGATGCCTCATCCCTGGAGGTGTTCAGGGCCAGGTTGGATGGGGCCCTGGGCAGCCTGGTCTGGTATTAAATGGGGACATTGGCGGCCCTGCATGTGGCAGGGGGGTTGGAGATCCTTGAGGTCCCTTCCAACCCAAGCCATTCTATGATTCTATGACATCTTCCTAGAAATCATCAGGTGCCAGTGACACTCTGGTCACTGCTTCTGCAGACTTTTACCATTGTCATCTATTATACTTATGTTTTAATTGCTGGATCGATCTCCCCTGAGCTGGAAAGCAAGCAGGGGAAGGGGTAAACCCACACTGAGATGAGCTGCCAAGATCAGAATTTTTCAGAATTATTCCTCTGCAAGTGGAGATGGTGGTTCTGAGCTTGAAGATGACTATAAAGGGACATTCGTGTCAGCCCTGTGCTACAGCACTGCCGTTTCAGGGCAGCTCAAGTGAGCCTGCAGGAGCCAGTGAGGGGGGATAGGATCCCACTGAGTTGCCTGACCAGGCCAGCCTTGTTCCTGAGGCTTCCTGCATTTTCATCTGAAAAGGAATGTTTGGTGATATAATTAAATTACAGACCTTAGACAGCATATGGCAATTGTCCTGTATGCTCAGCATTATAATTTCCCTATCATCAATTCACTCAGTGACCCTGCTGATTGCAGGACATTGCAGGCCTGCATAAAATAATTAACGAGGGCAGATACAATTGTTCTGCACCAGAGCGACCTGTCAAAATTCCTTGGGAAGAGAGAAACTGCTGGACCAGAGAGAAGGACTGCTGGCTGTGGCCTTGGATATCAGCACACCAGTGCAAAGCACCATGTGCTAAAGTCATCTCATGTCACCCAAGCCTCATTCTTAGCTTACAACATCAGAAGAAAGGATTTGCTCACAGTTGGCTAAACGTGGCACGATGGGCAGTTGTGGCTTGGGGCTTAGCATAGGGGAAATGGGTTATTCCCCTTTACAGCTGTGAAGGGAACCCTAGCAAACTGCCTCCTAGGGACATGGGGTTTCTAGGGAAACAGCTGGCCTTTTAGAGCCTGTAAAACATTTGCAGATCTCTGTTGCACATAAAAACACCACTACGTATGTATGACCTAATACATGCTATCTTAGAGACTGACAGCTTCCATGCTACAGCAGTTTCCCCACAGGCTCAGAAAGCAGCCATCACCTAATGACACGGATAAACGACTTTGCTCGATCGGCATTAGGGGATTACACCCTCCAGGATGGTACAGATTGCACATGAGATTCTTGCAAAGCTGTGGCTCAGCCAGGACCTCACAGAAATGACACGGCACTGCCTGAACCACACCTTTCCCAGGTGAAGTGAAATGCAAGCCAGAATCACTGCATGAGCGCTTGCTGCTCCTGTCTACCTGCACTGCAGTTATTTACATACTGACACAGAATGTGGCGATTTCCCTTTGTGCTTCTATTTTTCCCATCATAGAAACATAGAATCAGTAAGTCTGGAAAAGACCACTATGATCACCAAGTCCATCAGCCCAACCCCACCATGCCCGTTGACCCTCATCTACATGTGCCACATCTACATGTGTCTGGAAGGCCTTCCTGGTGTTCCACTCCATCACCTCCTTGGGCAGGCTGTGCCAGTGCATCACCACTCTTTCTGAGAAGACATTTTTTCCAAATTTCGAGCTTCATATCTACAAATTTCCCCATTTTCCCCTGTTTTCCTTTCTTCCACAACCACTTGAAGCTGGCAAGCGTGATCTCAACGCAAATGTCTCAAGCAATGGGAGAAAGCCTTAATCCAACCCACACCCACAACAGTTCCCACTAACACCATCACTCGTTAGAAAGGTTCCTAAAACAGCCACTGATAAAGGAAAGTGCCCTGAAAATGAGAAAATATCCTTTTCAGCGTCATGCTTCAATCAAGGGGCGAGCAAACAAGTAGTTTGTGCATTAACCCCATTTTGACACGAGAGATCTTATTTCCAGCTTCCACGTGGGGGCACTTTAGCACCGAGGAGCGATCCCATAACCTCCTGCTGTGCCGGGACCACAGTCCTACGAGTTTGCTCAAAGTCTGCAGAGCTGCGACTCAGGGAGTCCCACCTGGCCTTCCAGCAGCTTTGCACATATTTTATTAACCCATTCAATGATATCTCTGGCTATAAAAAGTATGTTGTGCTTTTGGCTTTGTTTTTTTTTTTTTGTTTGTTTGTTTGTTTTTTTTTTTTTTTTTTTAATGCAAAAGAGTGGGGTAATCCAAGGGAAATCTGCTATGTCCTGAAATCCCCCTTCTGTAGGTATGGACTCAGCTCACCCTAGCAGCGCATTCTCTATCTTTTGTCATTTGCTAAATGGATGGGAACACTAACGAGCACGATCTGTTGCTTTAAAGCCTTCCTGCAGCTTTTCACCACTCCCCACCCTCAGGAATTTTCCTGCATACACCGCTGCCTTTATTTCGTGGGGAACAAATGTCAGGGGCACAGGGTCAGCCCCAGGAGCAGCACAGAGGCAGCTGCAGGCTTTCACCAGCCCGCAGCTCCCACCAACCTCAAGATCTTGGGGGGGAGCGTGCACAGAGCCACCCTTGCAAAAACAGAGATTATCTCGCCTTATAGGAAGATGGCCCCACTTGATCAGATGCAAATTGCTGCAGCTGGGCACCGGGTTTAAGTCCCTCCTCAATGAAGAGCAGCGGATTACGCACGCTGCCACACAACCCGTGCAAATCCCTTCTGGAAAACTCCCCTCCTGCCGTGCCACCAGCAAACAGCAATGTTCAGCCAAGGCAGGAGAAGGATGCAGGGTTACAGAGGGCTACAACAAGCACTATTGCAGTGAAGATGGTTTCGTTGCTCCGTCTAGGATTCTGTTGTCCCCACATGTGAGCCAGGAGGTCTCAGATGACAGCCCCTTCCCCTGCTTTCTCTCATCAGCACCCTGGCACCACAGAACTACCACAAAAACAAACAACAGCTTTTTTCTGCATTTTCTCTATTGGAACCCACGTTCAGAAACTGTGGGAAGACATGAAGAGGAGTTATCAGTCGTACATACATAGGAAAGAATACACTCCATAAATACAAGTGCTGGTTGCCCAGAGAAGTTGTCAGGTCACCCAAAGAAGCTGTGGATGCCCCCTCCCTGGTGGTACTCAAGGTCAGGTTGGATGGGGCCCTGGGCCCTGATCTGGTGGGTGGCAACCCTGTCCATGGCGGTGGGGATGGAACTGGATGATCTTAAAGGTTCTTTCCAACCGAAGTCGTTCTATGATTCTATGATGTGATTTATGAAGCACAGCGCCTTCCAAGGGAGGTTCTGCAGCAACCAGGCTCCTTTTCACCATATATCAAGACAAGGTGAAGGCAGAGAGAAGCCCCCACCCTTCAGACGTGTGCCACAAACCACCACCAGCCACACTTACTATTTAGCAGACAAGACGCTGATTACTAGCTCTTTCCCATTTGAGATGTGGGTAAAAAAACCTCCTGTCTTAGCACAGGATTTGCTGGGATAAAAGGCATTTACTTCCCCAAACCACAATCTCCTCCTCTATTCAACAGCATCGTTTCAACAAGGTCACAAACATCTGAACACAGCACCTGAAAAGCATTAATGAAAGAGGCTGTACCTGTGTGCTATAGCAGGTTTGTGTCCTTCACCCTTGCACCACGGGACGTCCTCATGGAGATAAGACAAGCCACGGGCCATGGTTTCTGCAACATGGCAGAGCTCGTTCCAGCTGATGATATTGCCCTTCAGATAATCCGTGAGAGAGCCCTGAGAAACAGGACATCGTACGTTCTTAATCACAGCCATTGCTATGTGACAGATGTGCAGACTCATCGGTTTCATTTAGTTTTAATGAGTGCCTGAGAAATGTGAACCTTCATTTAACAGGCAAAAAATAAAACTAGCAAATGTTAAAAAAAAGAAAAGAAGAAGAAGAAATAAAATCCAGAAGCATTCACGAGTCCCTGGCTCATGAAAGCACAAAAAGTATATGGATATCTAAAATGTGTCCCAAATCTATTCATCTGCTTGGGAGATTGATGAAGGAAGGGACGAAGTAATTGCAAAAAGAACAAGTCATACAGGCTAGGAAAGAGAAAACATCTGCATGCAATAGAAGATGTTGCATCGTATCAACTGGTGGTGGAAATGATTGACTCAGAAGACCTTGGATTAAACAGAGGGATAATGCTGCTGGCTCAACCCTTGGTTTGTGTGTGTTTGTTTTATTTTAAGTGTTAGTCATGTTTGATAACTAAAGCAATTCAAGAAAGAGGAGGTATGCCCTCAGCTTCAAAAGCAAACACAGAGCCTGTCTGCAATTGCTGGGTTGGGAATGCAATGGCCCCAACCCCCAGCTCTCCCTGGCTCATCTCCACATGTTATGAGATGGCAGACACTGCATACGTGAGCTGTGTGCAGCCTATTGTGCCACCTCCCTCTCCTCAGGTCCCACCTTTCTTAATCTGATGTTTGTGCAGGAAAGTCTTGAAGGCTAAAGGAAGGGCCTTTGCAGAAGGGGAGACCAACTGGGGGAGCTTCTGGGAGAATATCAGCCATCAAACACTACTTCAAGGCCAGCCACCCCTGTGCTATCCCCAAATGAATGCACAACGATACGTTACCTTGTCGTGGAACGCTGTGATCAGCCAGAGCTCTGTCTCTAGGTTTGTCCCTCTTTTCTCTGCTGCGATAAATTGCAAAAGGTTTTCATGCTTCATGCCAGGAGTATTGAAAATCTCCCTCTCACTCTGCCAAGATTGCTTATCCTAAAGCAGAGAGAAACATACCATCGAAGATCACACTTCCCTTTAAAGCAAACAGCTTCTTTAGCCCAGTCAGAGCTGCTCATGTCCCTCTCAATACATCCCTCAGCATTAGGATGTGATGCACCCCTTTGAAATGAGGCTATTTTCCTACAGGGTAGATGCTGGAAGAAGAATGGAAATCATTGTTCCCAATCACTCTTCTCCAAAATTCTCATGTTTGGGCAGGGGGGTGGGATCCAAACCCAACCTCACTGAGAAATAAGACTTCTCAAGATTTTCTAAGAAAGCAGTAAGGAATAAAGCCTGTGCACACAGCACCCAGCTCTGCATTGTAGCTGTAATTGTTACAACTGCAAATCCAATCTAGACTGTATTGAATATTTACTAGTAGGTCACAGCTGGCATGGACAGAAGATGTGCAAATCTCCTTTAGCAATGCTATGACAACAAATACAGGGAGAAAAAAATTAATGAATAAGGAGACAGCGAAAGAGCACAAAGACGTTTCAGTCATTCCTCTTTCATTTGACTTTTGATTGCTCTACTCATTCTATTTGCAATTCCTAATAGTCAAGCCAGGAGCATTCAAAGGTTTCCTGAAGTGGAAGAAGTGAGCTGACAGACACATTGCAGTGCAGTGAACTTGCACAGCACTGGGGTTGTGTCTCTGTAAGCTACAAACTGTTTGCTAGCTTGGGGTCTGGGTTTACAGCCTTCCTGGATAGGACACACAAAGCTAAGCATTTGGTCCTTCATGTGCACTTCAAGCACTGCAGTCCAACTTCTGACAACATGGACTTTTTGCAGTAGTATTAAGAACCTGAAGATTCAAAATGTGCTTGTTTGCCCTTCTTGCAACAACTACTTCAGGAAGCATTTGGTAATGAGATATCACAGGGGAAAGTATAGGCGAGGTCCTTGAACTATTTCCTCCAGCCTTTGTAATGGTAGTGACAACACCTCCACGGATACTCAGAGCATCTCAACACTGGCACGGCAGACCTGTGGGTGAGCTCAAGGGTGATGCCCTTCTCACCTGAATTGGGAAGATTTTCACTGCTACGTAGTCATTCATCAGCTGAGCCTTCCACACGCAGCCGAAGCGTCCCCTGGCTTTGATCTCCAGGAGCTGTAGAGGTTTTAGGCCAACCAGGGGAGAAGGAGGTGGTGGGCCGGGGTCCTGCACAGGAAAACAACAGTCACAAGCTGTAGCAGGGGCATAAAACAAAGCAGGGGAATCACAGAATCCCAGAATGACTTGGGTTGAAAGGGACCTCAAGGATCATCAAGCTCCAACTCCCCTGCCAACCTCCATATTTAATGCTAGACCAGGCTGCCCAGGGCCCCATCCAACCTGGCCTTGAACACCTCCAGGGATGGGGCATCCACAGCCTCTCTGGGCAGCTGTTCCAGCACCTCACCACTCTCTCTGTAAAGAATTTCCCCATGATATCTGACTTAATCTTCCCCCCTTCAACTTAAAACCATTTTCCCTTGTCCTGCCATTATCTACACTTGTAGATAATGACTCCCCTCCTATTTATAGGCTCCCTTTAGGTACTGGAAGGCTGCAATGAAGTCACTTTGCAGCCTTCTCTTCTCCAGGCTGAACAAGCCCTCAGCCTGTCTTTGTAGGGGAATGGAGAGGTGGTGTGTGGCAAAATGTGCAAAGGATTATAGAATATCCCAAGTTGGGTGAGACCAACAAGATCACCAAGTCCAGCTCCTGGCTCCATGCCTGACAAACCAAAATCCAAACCAAAATCTGAGTGTGCACTGCATATCCTTCAAGGAAGGGAACAAGGTCACCATACTGTTTATTACAAATTACTGATGTGCTGTTCACAGCCAGAGCAGCACAAAATTCCCTATTTTGCTTTGTGAGATATTTGTATGGAACATATATAACAGTCTATGCCTTCAAGAGTCACTTTGTGTGTCAAACTTCTGCCTGTCATCCTCTGGCAAAACCTGAACTTTCTACTGTTTTCAAAGCAAGAGCTATTTTAGGCTGTAAAACATTGATGACCTCAAGGCTGCCTCCTGCCAAAAGTAGGAACTTTTTCATCTTTGCGATTCAACAGCAAAATACACCTAAAACCTCCAGCTGCTTTGCACTTCATCTAGGATGCTTCCCATAGCCCTAGCAATGGGCAGTAAACAGGTCTATCAGGGTAATAAAGATAGCATCTGTTTAAACTCCGCATTTGAATGGGAGAACAACTTAAGTCCCACCTACACCTGATTCTGGAGCTCTCTCCTATCTGCTTGCAATTTGCAAAGCTCACAGTATGGTCCCTACAAGGTGGAGGAGGAAGGCAGAGGTAGCTGCTGGTCTCCTTTTAAGAGATCAGAAGGTTCAGGGCACAGCAGAGCCAGCAAAGACCAGTTCTCTATGGCTCTGGGCTGTGAGGATGACCTTCTGCATGCATTCTCTGATGGCTCATAAAAGCTGAGCTTCAGCAGGGAAAACATCTCCTCTCACCCCATAAAACTGGTAGGAACTTACTTATCTCTACAATTTCTACTCCTCTGCAAAGTTAGCTGAAATTAGGCAATGGGTTTGACAGTTTTGAGGAAAGAATAATGACCAAGCAGGGTTGTGTAACTCATCCCTTTGGAATTTTGGAAATCATGATAACCTGGTCAAAACCCAACAGCCTCACAGCACTGCCATGGGGCCTACTGTAGTGCTGACTTGAAAAAGATGGAGAAGAACAGTTAGGCCACTTGGAAAACGTTAAATGTAAAGGAATTTATCCTTAGGGGGTTGGTGAGGCAGTGGGACAGGCTGCCCAGAGAGGCTATTGATCTTCTCAAGGTCAGGTTGGATGAGGCTTTAGGCAACACAGTCTAGTGGAAGTCTCTGTCTATGGCAAGTAGATGATCTTCAGCATCATTTCCAAACCATACTGCCTCATAATTCTGTGATAAACTTCTCCATAAAGTCCAAACAGAGGGGATCAACTTGGAGAACCCAGAGCTCATTACCTCATTGATGTCAACGTGCCCGTAGGGAGGCTTGCGGTGCCGATACATCCAGAAGGCCAAGAGGATGGCCACTGACAGGACAGCAATGGGCAGCAGAGAGTACACCAGGATGTTAAGCAGGGAGGGCGTTGGTGGTGGTGGCTCATATATGACTGTAAGGAAAGAAAAGGGTAAACGAGGGGAAGGACTTCTTAGACGTGCAAACACACCATCAGCTACTTGTCCAAATATAATTAAACACCCCTCTTTTCCTCTACTCCGGAGTCTATAAGGCACAGTGGTATGTCTCACTGCATCCAGCAGAATTTGTAAGACTCCATCATCTACTCTTTTCCACGTTGCTGTTACGAATGATCCAGTGGTCCAAATCATACTCTTTGGATTGAGCTCCCCTCTGATCTTTATTTAAGATGGGCATTTTTTCTGAGATACGTAAAGACAGAAAATTTCCTTCTCTTAACCCTTCTGAAGATATTAAGCAAACACGAAACCCCTCTCAGTGCTGCTTTGCCTTGTACAGTGATTGACAAGATGTCAGTTTTTAGCAAAATGCTGCAAGAGCCACAATCAAATGCACTATTCCCACAGTAGCTCTTGTTCCAAATTACATCAGTGCAGTTGAGATACAAACAATGGGAATACTAAATGGAGCCATGTTGCTATGTTGGAGACAGGGAAGGAAAAAATAGCAAGACTTGCCAAATAAAACAAAAAACTGTGAGAGAAAGAATATTTGCTACTAGGTTGCTACGGGTACGTTAATAACAGGAGATAATAAAAATCATGTAAACAATTAAAAACCCAACAGGAAAGCCTAGGAAAATCTGATAATGGTCTGTGGGGATATCTCAGTATATGCAGGTAGTTGATAGTAAAAGAAACCATGCTAAGAAAAGATACACCTGCTTTAGTAATTTTCATTGAAGGATACCTTTGTGAGCCTACAGCAAAAGGAATAATCATTTTTCTATTAGCCTCAAAAGAAGAACCTGCTGTGACTATTTATTTCTTGAAATATATCCAAAAATACCCATTTCCTTTTAATTCCCAGACCAAAAAAATGCTGCATCTTAGCCAATAAAACAAGGTTTCGGGTGTTTGTGAAATGAAAATTATTGAAGGTGTCAGAATGCCTTTATGAATTTGTGTCTTGATCTACCTTGTGTGAGTCACACTGCTCTCTACCTTGCATGCTTGCTTTTGCTAAGAGCCTACTGCAAACCAAGGGAACCGAATCCTCTCTGCTGACACATGAGATGGTGGTACAATACACTTCAACCAAAGCAAAATGACATTAAAAAACTGTTCTTAAGGAACCCCAGTATTTGGGCTTGTAACCAACTGACCACATGTGTGCTCTCAGATATGTGTTTGTGATCAACATCCAGCAACCCGAATCAGGTCAAGATGAAGAAACCCCCATCAACACATCATCCACAGCACACCTCACCTTCTGGGCCGGTTACTTCAGGCAAGTGGGTAAATTTCTCATTGCAGTAGTTGCCCTCGCAGCAGCAGAAAAACACTTGAGGGTTTTCTTCTGTAGCTACGCACTCCTGCCTGCATCACACACAGCAGCGAAGGGGAGAGAAAAAACAACGTCAGTCAACTCATGTTTGGGAGCTAATGCAGAGCTTCCCCCAGATTGTCTTCTCGTGTCCCCTTCCACCAGCACAGCTCCACAGGCTCTGCTTGCAGGAAACTTGGCACTCAAATACCCCAGTGAATAGCAAGGACCCTCAAAAAGGCCATAAAGGAAACAAATGCTTCCATATGTACTGAAAGCATTAGATGGCAAGTAATAAATAACAGCAGGCTCCGCTAAGTGAATGAGAAACAGAAAAGCAATGAAGAGATGCCTCGTTCCCTGAGAAGTGTTGTTCCTGCAGCCTGCACGTATGCTGCCGAGGGTGAAAGGAATTTAGGCATGCTGTAAAGCTGATGCTATAAAGCACATACAAAGAGGGCTGCATGAAGGCTGCTCTCACAGGCAGAAGCATCCCCAGCTCCCTAACTCTACATATTACAAGGGTACCAGTCACCAGCAGCGCCTCTGACTGCCGAAAGCAGGTGGGAAGCTGCAGGGCTTTTTGTTTTGGTTTTTATTTTTCCTTCTGAGTTTAATCTGCAGTGCCACCTCCTTCTCCTTTAAAAGAATCCCATACCCGCACAAAAGCCTGAAAGGAATTCAGGCTGCAGCTCTCCTGTTTCTCATTTGCCCGTTCTCCAGGTAGCCCTCTTAGCACTGAGGTTTCCCTCTGTACTTCCACACGTCCTCCCTCTCCCACAGATCGATGCAGTGATATCTTCAGTGCCCTGGCAGAAATTTCTTTCTACTTCTTAAATACCTGCTTCCCTTCCCTGCCACTTTTTGCCAGGTTGCCCTCTGCTTTTAGTTATTTTGTTCCCTCCGCAGAGAGCTGTATCAAACTATTTCCTGAAGACCGGCTAAATTATATGCATGACTTCCTTCCTTCAACCACTCGGAGGAAGCAGCAAAACAATCATATGTGTTTGACATTATTACTCATTTATGAACCCACGCCAAGCCTCCCTTTCTGTGCTATCACTGACATAATGCCACGAGAAGAATGGAAAGGGCTCTCTCTCCAATCATCGCGCAGGGTCTCTGTCAGGACCTTTTTTGGGGGGGGGAAAAAAAGCAGCTTTAGATAAAATGGCTCATGGAAGCACTTGGTGGGCTTGGAGAGCTTTTTCTGCTTCAATTTCAAAGAAGAAAGCAGCTATTTGAGTCATTCAAATGGACAAAGATATTTCAACAAGTTAAGCAACGCTTCCAGATGCTTTTCCCTGAAATCAGATAACAAGCCCTTCAGATTTCACCACATCAGTATCAGAATCTTCAATAGCAAAGACATCCTTTGCTAAATCTGTCGGTTCAGAAATCAAGCTAATGAATGAAAACAGCCTGCTCCGCATCTGCAGTTCATTATCCCAGTTGGTGTGTGCTCAGGGCAGCCATCCAGGTACGTATGACACGTTATACTTAGCAAATATTAAAAACGATGCGGTGGGAGAGAAAGACACATTATTCCATGGTAGCAGAGTGCAGGTTTTGGAGCAGTTCATGTGGTCTTGAAGGGAACGTGAGCACAACCTCTGCTGTGTAAATAAACGAACAGCGCATGGTTGATTTTTAAACAGTCCTTTCTCCCTGTAGCCTTCAACGCTCACACGCCATGTTCTTGTTACCTTAAGATAGACAGCAGAGGAAGGAGTCATTACCCTCAGCATCCCAACTGTTGCATTCCTGCATGCGTCACCTTTCCGTGACAAAGATGGAGCAGTTGGCACATCACACCGAGTGCTGCCGATGCGCTCAACCCAGCAGAGTTACGGGAAGACAGGGCAGGGCCGTGTCCTGACAGCTCCAGGAGCATCACCCAAGGAGCTCAGCATCCCACACAGTGGTACTCTGGATAAAAGGCATCAACACAACACTGCTGGCTGCAACAATCAACTTTTAAACCATTTTTACCTTCTCGAGATACGCTACCTGCATGAAAGACTGAAGAGGGCACTCAAGGGAAAAAAAAAAAAAAAAGAAAAGAAAGAAAAGAAAGAAGAGACTCATTTTAAACTGCCTTTATTTAATTAAGGCTAACCTTTAATTCAAATGCTGCTTTCAACACTCACATCGTTTCCTAATTCTCAGATCTTTTTGCTCCGCCCTGAACTGCGACTTCGAAGAATCAGGCTGTGGGATAATGGATGCTCAACCTCGCAGTTGTGAAAAGGCTGGTGAGGAGCCCTGGAAATTTTGCACCATTGTAACAGAGCAACACGTTATGACAAAGATTAAGAAGCACTACATCCCCGTGCAGAGACACTCAGTGACAATACAAGTGTCACTGTGTATGAGAGCAGGCAATGAAAGGAGAAATCTGTTTACAGTAAACACTTCTGCTTGTAAGTAGGGAACTGGAGTGACCTTCTGTTCTCAGAAGGATCGGTGTTAAGATGACTAATAGGCCAAGAAGGATTGATTTATCAGGAAAGAATAAAAATTTCACTATATATAGAGCGCATACAACTGGCAAGGGAATAGGTGTGGTGGGAAAGTAACCTCAGCGCTAATAAGAGAAGGAAGAGGAGGAACTACTCACAGCCAGGACAAGCCAACAGACACAGAACCAGGGCTGGTGCACAATGACTAACGGAAGCTTCCAGCCTTCGGACAAAGCTGGTTTCAGCTTAAGCCCCGTGGCTTAAGACTTGATGTCCTAAAAACTTCTGGAATCAGAATGTGCAGCGGTGACTGACTGATTGGGAAGGATGCTGTGATTGGACAAAGGTGACAGCATCTTATATTGGTGTGACACAAAGGTAAACCTTTGAATGTTACGTTCTATTAATCCTTACTGATGGGGCTGGGTTTTGGTTGGTTGGTGTTTGTTGTTTTGTTTTTCTTTTAGCAGAAACCCCTGCCTGAGCCCAGAACCACCAAGCATTGTCCTTTTGAACTGCAAAACTTCAGAAGGCCATTTTCTATAGTGCAGTTATTTCCCCTCTGTAGAACTGCATCAAGGGGAGCGAGAAAAGACTGGTTTATTCTCCCAGCTATTTAATGAGGCTGGAGCCCTCCCACTACAAAGCTTCTTTACTTCTCAGCTCACTACAGGCAACAACACTCAAACACGCTTTGCTTTCACTGCCTCACTCTTTCTCCCAGCTCGTCTCAACTCAGCTGAAAAACAGCAAAACTTTTTGCAACATCACAAATGCCAGAATATCTCAACCTCTAAATGCCCCCAGATATCCGTGTTTTTTTCTTTTTTTTTTTTTTCTAGAGAGCTCCAAATGATTCCAAGTTTTCCTTTGTATCGCCAAATGCTCTTGGAAGAACATATTGGTCTTCATTTGATGGTACAGGACACGTTTTTCAAAGCATGCCAGAATTATCAAAGCCTTGCTAAAGGAAAAAAAAAAAAAAAAAAGGAAAAAAACCACAACAAAACTAAAACTGCATTTTGCAGCTTTTATTTAGAAAGTAATGTGACAATTTTGAGAGCTGCTTTAGCAACAGAGGTAATTACTGGGGATGAATGGGCCAATTGACTTGGACTCGCTTTCTTTTCCTCCATGCAAAAACCATGAGCCTTTGCACTTAGAGGAACGATTAAACCTGCATTCAGATAACCAGTTAGGCTATTACCTGTCATAACAGTTGAAGTCATCTAACCAGCAGCCTTTCTTCACCAGCTCGATGGATCCCGAGTTGTTTCTCCAGGAGGCGTAGCAGTGGAGCCGCTTGTCCTTCTCCCCCTCGCAGCGCTCCACGCCGCTCTGGTTGGTCTTCTCCAGCTCCCAGTTGGCGTTGTAGTAAATACATTCCCTCGTCTCTGCCTCCCCGTGACCTGGTCCTGAAGCAAAATTCAAAGCCTAAGTACGTTCAAGCAACATCATTAACAGATCTCAGGAGGCACAGCTCCATGGGGCTTGGCTTTGGGTGATGCAGGCGTTAGTATCGCTCTCTACCATAGATAAAATAAGCATATCACAGATGTAAGCTTCAGCACAGGGTGTTTTCCTTTGCCAGTGGATGTGAAGAACAGAGATCAGGTTTGACTTAGTTCACACCAGGAGCTTGTGGAAAAGCCAAGAGTCCAACAGAGACCCACAGGTCTCCTCTGGCCCAAGCAACGCACACAACCGTAGCACAGGAGGGTACAAGATAACCCATTCCTGGTGTTTTTCAACCACAGAAATCCTGTTTAGGAACAACAATCTCCGAGCGTGCTGCTCGCTGGGCTGTCACACAATGCAGTTACACACTCCCTCTCCATCACTATTTCAGGAAGCACTGTCTAAAAATAAACAGTTTATTATGCGGATAGGACGTAACAGGGAATAGATAATATTCAACCTGTAGATGAGAGCCAGACCAGCCTCATCTCACTTAGATCCCGTTTCAAGCTTATTTTGGTAAGGTGCTGCTAAATGCCACATTTTATGTTGTGGTTGCCGTGTTTCGTGCCCCTTTCTACCCAACAAACATCTTAAGCAAAAGCAACTCTATTCGCTGAACAACTGCAGCCACACCAAATGGACCTTTGGCCACCACGAACCAGGGACTCTCCATAACCTTTTCCTCATACTAACTTTTTACCAAGAAGTTCTGCAGGTCTCCCAGGTGAAGGAATTCCTTCATGGCCACCAGACCGCACAGCACAAACACAACTATAGGTATTATCAGCTTGAAAAAGGAATCAAGCAAGGGAACACTGGTATCTCCATGTGAAATATTTTGTCTTAAGTCTTAGAAATTCTCTCTTCATTTGGAAATACTCTGCTCTGTGACATTTTGATGATTTGTTTAAAATGAAAGGAAGGGAACCAAACACATGAGTTGGAATAGGATACCCTGAAACATCACCAGGAAGTTCAAGACTTTGTGAATCCTGAGATGCCCTGCAGCCATCTCTCCTTGGGATTGCCCAACCCAAGGCGAGGTCAGAGCTGGCCATTATATTGATGGATTGCAGTCACAGAAAACATAAGTATCTCAATGGAATGTGTTGAGTGGGTAAAAAGCTTGAATGGCTCCATCAGGATGGCAAAATGAAAGTGCTGAGCCCTCAGAAAAGCCAGACCTCTGCAAAACACAGTACTCCACTGGCAGGATAATTTTGTAGTGCTTTCTTGACTGTGCTTTCTCCAAAGGTATGCAAGGTCTAATGTTGAGATTAAAGCAGTCAGAGCCATGTCTGGACAATCTAAATGCAAACTTGTCTGTGATTACTGCTCAACACAGCAAATAAGGCACTTCTGAAAGGTCTCTAAAAGGTGATTCAGTTTGGCCTTCAGGAAACACTAAGCAATGAGTGGCTTACAGCCAGCAGAGAGAACACTCTGCCTAGGTCTGGGCACCAGATCCTGGCTTCCTGTAGCATCAGTTGCCCTATCTGAACACTCATCTACCACCAATTTAAGTGTACTCACAACACCCAGCCAGAGAAGGAAGCACTACTCTAATCCCAAGAGCTGAAGCATGAGGACTAAAGGACTTGTTCTAAGTGAACAGGGAGGAAGCCTGACCTGTCTGCACCTTCTGAAGCTGCTACATCTCCAAACTGTTCCCAGAATCAGCTTTCAATTTTGCAGGGATCAGAAGTGTGTAAAGCAGCAAGGAGATGCCATTTGAGCTGGAGAATGCACTCAAGCTACTGCATGCAGTCCCATCTACTGCACCAGTTTTTAGCTCTCAAGAGGCAGCTAGTAAAGAGTGTGCATCATCACAGGATCCTTTAAGTTGAAAACACCTTCAAGACCATCAAGTCCAACCACCAACCTAAGCTACTGAGTCCCACCACTTAATTATGTCCCTTCGCACCAAGTCCACACACCTCTTAAATACTTCCAGGGATGGAGACTCCACCTCTTCCCTGGGCAGCCCATTCCAATGCCTGCTCACCCTCTCCATGACAAAATTCTTCCTGATATCCAATCTAAACCTCCCTTGGTGCAACTTGGAACCCCTTCGTCATGTCCTGTCACTTGAGGAAAGATGACCCAGCACAGAGCAGGAGCATCACAAGAACTGCCATCGCAGTTACTGCACGGGCTGGGGGTGATGTGCCCAACCTGCTCCAGCTGCCAACACTGGGCCTCAGCGATGGGTAGCTTATGGTATGGAGCAAAGACATCAGACTAGAAAGATCTCTTTGCCTTTTGAAGAGGTGTTTGATTCCTCAATAACTCTTTTTCAGGAAGAATGTTTCATCTGCATCGTGGGAGAGACTGGAAGGGAGGAGGGGTAGGAGCAAGTCATAAAGCTGGTTTCAGAAACTGGAAATTATATTCAAAGCACACACGAACAAGAGCTCAATTTCAATAGCACCTGCAGGTTTTATCGGCGCTCGCAAAGCTCCATCTGAGTTTTCCTCTGACAAGTTGCTTACTATAATAAAAACAACCTACCAATATCCCTCAACACGGAACAGTGTCAATATTGACACTCCTTGTTAAAGCCTTGATATTTGTTCTGCTGATACTTACACCATGCTTTGTTAGGGCAGATTAGGGGTTTTTGCTAAATAAGAGTCAAATCAGCAGGAAAGCAAGGGAGCATTGTCTTGTGTGTGTGAGGAGGTGGTATCTTTTTATTTATAAAGGAATAAGCAAATATCTTAGCTTCAATGTAATACTTAACATGGCTTCCAGCTGATAGCTAACACTCACTATCACCTTCTGGTTCATTCCTCGAAGCACATTTTCTAATATCATTTCCATCAGCGCAAACCAAATCCTGCTTCAGCACTAGATGGAAATTTCCTCTCCTCTCTCCCAACCAAATCTCCCAGAAAGGAGGGGATTTAATGAACCGTTTGCCTGGGAAGCAGCCCCAAGATCTAATCCCGGCTCAGCTACCTCTGTCTGTAACCTCAAGCAATATCAGGCAGTCTCTGCTTTCTTCACCTGAGATGAGGGCTGATGCAATGCACAAAGCTGCGGGGAGAATTGAGGTTTCCACTGTGCTTTGAAAAAAGAAATTCCAGCCTGCTAAATCCTGAGCTCAGCCCAGGCTCCCCTCCCCCAAGACAGTTGTCTTTTCTGGAACAAGTTTCAGATTAAGAGTAAGATCTGCTTGCAAACACACAAAAACCCAACTCTGCAAACAGCAACTGCGCCAAGAAAACGGCCTTTCACAGTTTTTTCCCCACTATCAAAGTTGAACAAAAGCAAGCACAAAGTTTTGGATGATTAGTACATGTCTGTTTCCTTAACACCACTCCCAAGGATGCTTGCCTTCAGGAGACACTTGAAGAGCCTGTGTGTTTCTTACCCAGTTTTTAACGCATCTTTTGGTGAGCATCCCCAGTCTGCTGGGTGCCCAGAGCTGCAGGAAACTCTTCTGCTTCTGCTCAAATGGTCTCAGCAGGAAAGAGCAGGGCTCTGCTTGCCTCCTCTTCCCTCACTGGGTCATGGGGACATCTGTATCCATTACAGCAGCGCCCCAAGAGGTCTACAAGAAGAACTGGATGGGACTGCCTCAAAACGGGCACGGGAAGCATTTTTGACCTTCCACTCACACACATCTAATGAATAAATGCAACAAGGGTTGGCTTGGAGCAGGCTGGGCGTCCCCCCATGCACAGCAGCAACAACTGGTTCTAATCCCATGACTCACTCATTTCAGGAATAAAGTCTCAAGTAGTCTGATTTCTTTGTGATCCTGTGTGGAGTCAGGAGGTGGACTTGATCTTTATGGGTCCCTTCCAATTCAGGATATTCTATGGTTCTAAATCCTTCCTGAAATCAAGGAAGAATTAAGGCTTCACTATAGCAGCTGTGCTTCTGACATCCCATTGCATGAAGGAGGAGCTTTAGGGATGCTGCGGAGTGGGGATGATGATGTACCACCAAACCAAAACAACACTCAGCATCCCAACATTATGATGACAGAGGGAAGCCACCCACCACCAACTTCTTGAATGCAGCCCTGAGAAGCTGTTGTGAGGTTGGTTCCCTTGGGTTCAAGTCTGCTTCAAAAGAGTGCAGCATCACAAGGGTTTTTCTGAATAAGACCAGCACCCATCAAGGCAGGTAATGATGGGAAGAGGACTGAAGCACTGTGCAACCACTCCTGCACATGGGAGCTGCAAGCACAGAGGGAGCTCATTAAAAAGGGTCCTCTTGAACCCCAGGACTCCAGCCTTGGGACCTTGCTGTTGATCCGAGACTCAAACTCTGCTCTCTGAACGTGGAGCTGCCAACAGATCAGCGGGGCTGTGTCATTATCCGACATCTGCTAAATTATAGCCAGGATCCAAGGTAGCAGCTCTGGGTCTAGGTGTTAGCAGTTGCTGAGCTCCTAGCTCATAATTAGACACGCAGGGAATATCTTCCCCAAGGCTGAAGGCTGCTATAAATCTCAGCTCTTTATCTCTGCCTGTCCCCTTTTTAAAAACTAAAATGAAAGTATATACGAGAAGATGGGATGTGTCAAAATAGTCTGCACAAACACAGAGTGATTTCCCAGACAGCCTGTTTGCCTAACTGTCAAAACCACCGGGCTTTATACACAAAACTGTGTATGCAACTGAAGTTATTTGCAAACACTTGGTTATGTCCCTATATAGCTATTTGTACATGTAATTTTATAATATAAAATGACAGAGATTGTACACTGAATTGGGGTAATTGCCCTCTAATTTGGAGGGTAATTGCATGTAGCAATTAAGCAACTGCAGATGCATTCTTGCATGTGTGATTATGAAAGTCGGGCCCTTTGTTTGAGGTTTGGTTTTGTTTTCAAGAACTATCCCTCAAACCACAGCAGCATTTGGATAGGCTGGGGAAGGAAATGCAGCTGGTGCTCACCTGGCCAAGCAGCACCCACCGGCCACATGCCTGCAGGGATGCTCAGCGCGTCCCCACCTCACTGACCCAAAAGTTAAATGCAAGACTGCAGCTTAAAGAGATTCAAGTTGTTGCTGATAACATTTCAGATCACAAAATCAAGCCAGAGGAAGGCTCGCAACTGGGAAAGTTTGGGAAACGTTGCTCTAGAGAGACCACCCAGTTGTATCTCTGCAGAGCCTATAATGAATCCACAATTAGTACGCGTTGCTCCAGCACTTATTCCCTGAGCACAATGATTTCATTCCTGCTGTACTTAAACAATAAGCCTAAATACGTTTTTAGGCAAGGCATCAAACCAGCGATGACATCTGTGGTTAAGTACATAACTGTGAATGAGGATTTAAAAACTCACTGCTTATATCCCTGGCTCTTTCACAAAGCTTTGAAGCAGCACAGCCCCGCGTACCAGAAATGAGCTGCTCCGGCCAAAACTTCACTGTACCTTTGGGCTGGCAGCCCATCCACATCACTGTGGACACTCAGGCACAAACCTCAGGCTCACCTCTCCTGGCCACACGGGTGTGGGAGATCCTGTAGGGCAGGAAAGGGCAGCCCCTCGGCTAATTAAATATCCTGGTAAGAAAAAAAAAAACCCACAACTTTTTCCAAAATGTTTTGGCTCTTAAGCCCGATCAGGTAAAACCAGTCCATGAAGCACTGAGAACATCACGCCAAGGGAGGATATTACTTTGAATTCTGTTTTCTGTCAATAGATTTGGCATATCCCACGATAAAAGAGCTTGGAGTTTTCTAGTCAATCAATGGTTGTTAATCTATTATCTCAGC